GCAGGGTTGGGTGTTGAGGGTGAGGCCACCACTCATTGGGTTGTGGTGTACCCGTCTTTACTGTCTTACTACCTTTTTTTGTCAATTGGCCAAGAACTCGCTTACTTCGTTTTGGCAAACCAATATTCAAAGACATTTGATCAGTTTCGTTCGCCCTTTCCTCCAGCTACCAATCCAGACACTGTAGTTGATATTGCTACGTAAGTTGTTTGCAACTCGGTAAAAGTATCCATCATTTCTGGTGCCTTTGGCAAACCACCCTCCCAAAACAAAACATTTACTTTGCGTTTCCATACGCGCCAAAGGCATCAGCAGGCAGCACCGCACTCGACCATGTGGTAGCCAGGTGAAACCGTTGACAGATGTCCCACGACACGGCTCAAAGCAACGTCTTTTTGCCAGAGGATGTCTTGTCATGGTTGATTTTTCCCAACGTTTTCCCAGACATGACCAACTTTGCCCGGAACAACCAAACAATCATTTTCAGGCTGAAGTATCTCCAACAAACCCTAGGGCCATGTCCATCTTTTCTGGACCCACTGGTTTGGACCACCTGACCTGCTGGCGCAAAGCGGTTTCTGCGCACAAGCTGGCCGAAACCCAGTCCCATGGCTTCCGAACCCCTGCAAAGCAAGACCCTTTCCACCCTGCAGAACCTTGGGTTGTTTGCTTTTGGAGATCAATCTTCCAAGTACGATTTGAAAAGTCCTCGAAACAGGCTTACTAGACTTGATGGCAGAAGCCTGAGTAAAGGCCTTGACGCAGGATTACACCAGTTGATTCTAACAGGCAGAAGGCCATGGGGACAGGCGGAGTGTGTCCAACATCACTTGTAACTCTAACTTCGCTGTGAGTGAACAGCCATGCGAACACTTTTCGTCCTAATTTCCCTGGCCGAGCAGCGTGCAATGGCCAGGCTGCCATAACCTTGGCTTGCCCACGATGGCCACCTCGCTCCAACCATGAAACAAAACTTGAGCCTTGATTGCATGTCGCGAGTGCCGCGAGAGTACTGTGATTAAGAACTTGGAGCAAATATGAAATATGCTACAGTTGTTGGATGCAACGAAAAGAGTTTGCTCTGTTTGCTCAGTCTAGATGGGCAACCAAAGGAGATGCGGTGCCAGCGGGGACATTTTTCACCAGAGACTATTTCGAGGACCGGGTGCGGGTGGTGACAATGTGCGGCTTGGGCAGTTCATGTGAGAAACAGCAGGGCCGCAAGGGCCGCAAGGTCGAGTACCTAAGGACGCTACCAGAGGCTCCTGGCCTTACTACTAGGAGCAAGGACGCTACTGGGGCTCCTGGCATCGCTACTAGGAGCAAGGACGCTACTACCTCCTGTAGAACTTGAGAGGCCAAACAAGACCACGGCACACACAAGGTGTATTTGGCTGGCCCGGTTTCATCGCGGATCTCCGGCCCTTCCGTAGAACGTCAGACGGGACTTATATATGGGATGTTATCCCCTATAACTATTTTAGATGAAACACACTTCTGCAATATATATATATATACATGGAACATTGTGTTTCTTTTCTTTCAAAATTCTGGGTTTGCTGCTGGTATTGTTTGTGAGGGGTATGTGACGCATGCTACAATTCCGAAACCATCCAGCTGCCTTAGTAGAAGAGAATTGTAGCAACAGTTTGGCATCTGGGACTGCAACCAGAGCATGCCAAAGGTGAACATTGCTGTTCTTTGCCTGACACTTAAACAGCATCAGTTTGCAACCGCATTACTTGTTCATTTCTTACACCGTGTGTGTATGTGTATGTGCAAGGGTGTACGAGAAAGGTCTAATTCGGTCGTGAGTCCAATGCCTTTCTTGCTTCCCACTGCAGGATGCTTAGACACCTCACCACGTTTATGAATTCGCAGACATGGCCGGGCTCGCAGCGTTTGTCGCACTGTGGCAAATATGGGAAGGAGATCCCCCAAGCACTGCAGACTGGTGGATTTGTATGGAATTGTCAGTTTGCCAGGGAGTCATTGTGGGCTTCCTATTTAGGGGGCTAGCGCCCGCGGCCGGTCGGCGAGCAACAAGTTGGACGAGTGGGTAGATTGTTTTTTCGCAACAAGTCCCAAACCCCAGTTCCACTTCGGAAGATGTAGGGCCCCACGAATGACTGGCAAGGTTGAGGATGCCATCCTCTCCTGAAACAAGGTTTTTGGCATTTACTTGGGATGAGCAATCCCAATGATCTTCTCTAGATGGGCTCGAAGCACGAAACGGAACAGGTCTTTCTCAGGGAGGTGCTATGGAGCAACAAAAACCTTCACCGATGTCCCAATATCGATCTACAAAATGGCGATTCTATTTCCATGGCTCTTCGGTGCAGGATTATGTTCGTCAGCTGTAGCATAATTTGTTCGACGAAGGGTCTTTGGAAGAACGTTTGCACGACCGGGTAAAAGCTCACAGACGAATTGCAAACGAGCACTGCGCAAAGACCACTCCATTTCAATAAAAATGTGGCTATAATAAATTTGGGGGTGCGTCCTCAAACATCAACCATGGACCCCGTCGCGCGCGCGCGCCTTCGTAAACCATTTTTCCTTTTCTTGGAGGCGCGGGGTCCATGAGGTTTCCGCTTCTTTGGGGCGCACCTGAGACCACACCACAACCTGGCCCCATGCCTGAATCCAAAAGGGTGATGGGGGAATCGAAACCCATGCCATTTCTTCCCGCGACAAAAAAAGAAGGACGGCCGGTGGCGACTTTAGAGTTTGAACATTTGCGCAATTTGTTTTTGTGAATGTGACGGAGAAACAGCATCCATCGTCCACCGCTCACCCGACTCCCTGTCAGGAACATGCCGGCCCTGCTCCGCTCACGCTCACATTCATCATCCTAGACCGGGGTCGGCGGATTTCAATACACCCATACAAGTACCCATACACCAAACATCACCCGGCTACGTGCCGCCAATGGCAAAGGCTTCGCGCCTTCTTAGTGTTTACATTGGAGGGATTTTCAGCTTCGACCCGCGTCAATACCCTTGCTTTTCGTGCCCAACCTGACCCACACCATGTCCTGACTTGATGAGCAGAGTCATATTGGACACAGAGAATTCAAGCCACCCACGCAAAATAGCTATTGTACGTCTGACATTCTTTACCTGTCCCTTTCCGTGAAGCACATTGCTTGTTCTTGCCACGGTTGAAGCGGGGGCGGCCGAAATTCGAATTGCACGTGGAAAACGACAACATGTGTGCAGGGGTCCACAACTTGCCCTATGCCAACATTCACTTCAAAAGGATGGCTCCGAAGACGAGCAGGAAGTGTCTGGTTTTGCTGATGCTTTCAGTTCCTTGCATGATCTGATTCAGCACGGCCTGGACAGAACGAACATGTGGGGAACTGGGACTAATGCGAGATGCGTAATGCATGAGTGTCAGCATTACTTAAAAACAATTAAACAAAACTATATTATATATAGATGTATTGGCTGCATTGAACCAACTTGGCTGTGGTACTCGCCTCCATCCTCAACCGGCGGAAGCCTGCAAGTCACCCAAGGTTCCTCTTGCTACATGCCTGGAGCGAAAGATTATTTCAATCCCGACAGATCAATCTCCTCAATGTCTCTTGGCATTTGATGGATTTTGGCCGTTGTTCACTGTTGCAGATTGTTGAGAAGGGCAGCAAGATTGGAGTTGGAGCTGAGTTCATCTATTGGCAAAAGCCATCTTACTGAGGATTGAGGCTGTTGCCAAAGCCTTCCCCAATGAGCTGGCGCTACTGGATGATTCTTCCGGGGCCACATATTCCTATCAGGATGGGGGTGGCTCGTGTGGATACTCTGAGATCAAAACATATCAACAGACTTTTGAAAGGTTTGTCTAAGGTTTGTGAATAACGCTTCTGGCCAGGAGCTGCTGAAGATGTCAAGCCACTTGGCGTGCACTTGGTGCCTGACTCACTTGATACAGTAAATGAGAGCATGGTTGGCAGTTGGCGTCACTAGACCTGGGGCATGGCCTTGAGCCCTGGAATACGGTCGAGCGTGGCAAATGTTCCATTCTGGACCCCGGAGTCGTCAAAGATGATATTGCTGACCCATGTGGCGCATTAGACAAAATATGTTGGGCGAGTTTTGAGAATAGATGTCAATCTTGGGAAGGGAGGACCCAAGAGGATGGATAGGCTTTGGTGATTTGGTTGTGGGTCAAAATTCAAAAGCAGCACCAAGAGTCGGGACACCATGGACCTTGACTTTCGAAGATATCGTTTCTGAGTGAAGACTTAGGTTCATTGGCCTTTGCTCTACGACTCGCCGGTGTTCCTCAGCTGCGTTTCACTGTGTCACAGTGATGTGTTCCATTTAGGGGACATGACAGATGGATTGTGTGCCGTCCTCGCATCTCCCGACGTCTCCCGACGTCTCCAGGTCTTCCCGGACAACTTGGTCCCTCTGATGGCGGCCCGTGGAGTTGAAATGATTCTGGGCATCCTCGGGATTCTTCGGACTGGAAGTGGCCCCTCGATGTTCAAGCGCTTCACAACGAAATCGACAGTTGTTTGGGGAGAGGAACAAAAGGGCATCGCTACTAGATCTACTAGAAGCTACTGTACTAGTAACAACTTGATCTCAAGGCCGTTTGGGCAGATTGAGGCCATGGGAGGTCTGAAAGAAAAGGAGAAGAGATTGTTTCAAACGAGAGTCGTGAAATGGTACGCCGAGGGTTCAAGTTTTGTCTCGGATACAAGATATGCAAGTAGGTTTGTATGGTAATGTAGGGGGTATGTAATGTATGTATAAAGAGTGACATATGTCTCACTTGCATGTCAATTCCTCTGTGTGAATTGCCTCCAGATTCTGGAGTTTAGGATTGTTTGGTGAAATTGTGGTTTCCTTTCACTTTGGCAATGGGTCAGTGAAACCATGTCTATATATAGTAGTCCACTGTCTAGTCCACGGGAACCCAATTTTTGGCTTTGCAGAAATGTCCACAGAAATGTCTTGGATCAGGTCTCAAGTCCTGACTTGTGCTTAATGAGCTCAGCAAACGCTTCAGGCTATGTACCACTTGATCTTCACTGGCCAGAGGATAGACTTGAAGATGTTTTGAGACAGTGTTCCAGCAAGGCGCAGCGGGGTGTCCCAACACTTTCCATCAGTTGCCTGTGCGTACTAGGTTGGATGGCCAATCGCTACTAGGTTGGAGGCCATCGCTACGCACCCCGGACGACCGAAGCTTGGACGCCGACGACCTGGTCGCAGGTGGTCTTGGCCTCTTCGGACTGTCACTCAAAGCTGTCGGCGATTGCCTGGAGGGTCTCTTCAGCCTCTCGAGACGCAGACAGAGCTGAAAGGGAAGAACGGTTTGGGTCTGATGGTTTCCAATCAGAGCTAATTATATATATATATTTATATCTGAAGTTTCCTGAGTCCAAAATTCAGATTCTCAGATTCTCAGACCCACCCAGTGGACAGCAAGAACTAATTAGGGAAAATGGCTGAATTCCTGACCCGAGGGTTTCTGGAGGCGTTGGTTTATCCTTCTTGGGCACGACATCTCCATGTTTTTGTTGGTCCCAACTAAACTAAAGGCCACAGGGAAGTGGCTTGTCACTTTGGGTATATATATATATTCTCGCGCAGCCATAGGTCTGAGAGGTCTATGGATGAACAGTGGAGGCCTTGAAATGGCGGCTACTGGTCACTAAAGGGAGCTCAAAAGGCATGGCCGAGCTAGTCGTCGCGCATGCCGCGAATTGGCCACCCCCAAACACTTGATGATGTCAACCTGAGGCCGAGGTTTGGAAACTTTCTGGGATCCCTTTCTCTTTAAACAGACCACGAACAGCAGCCGCAAAGACATCCAAACCAGCAGCAACACCACACGGGATGGCCTTTTGCAAACGATAAACCTTTCCAGATGATTCAGCAAAAGCCATTGGGATTCTGTGTCCGGCTCAGGAACAGCTGATCATCAGTTCCAAAAAAGAGACATGCCGCTTAAAAGGGGCACTGATGTCCAAACCCACCAACCAGCTCAAAAGGATGGTGGCAAAATCTGCAGGAAAGCCTAGAAAATTGATTTGGTCGCCTCAAAAGGGCCAAAAGAAGTGGCGACATCCGCATCCTTGACACTGAAACAGGAGCCTAAGTGTTGGATGCTTGGATGCTTTCATCCCCAGGATCAGGTCTTTCCGCAGGCAGTGCCAACTCTTGTTCCGCCATAGCCAACAGAAAGGACTGCTGAGCTCGAGTGGCCAAGAGACTCTTCTGCTTGTGCTCAACATATCGGCGATGCACCAGTTGCTGTTGGTGAGGTCGATGTAGGTTGACCCACTTAGCAACTGCGTCCGCATAGGCATTGCCACGGATCAGCCAGTCTTCTTCAGGGCTCTCTGCATCTTGAAGGTGCTCATGAGCCGCCACTTTGAATACCGTGACCGGGTTGAGAGCTGCTGTCCACAATCCCAGATCTTATGCCAGACATCCATGTGCTTCCGATGCGCCGGGATGTAGCCAAGACGACACAGGAACTGGTAGCCATCGTGCACATAGAGGCTGTCGGTATAGACGGTCAACGGAATACCGTATTGGAGACCAAGAAGAAGAGCAGAGTGAAAAGCCCAGCCCGGTCACTGCGCTGCTGAAGGCCTGGCAGGTAGCCGTATGCCACCGTCTGCTTGGGATCCATAGTAACCACGGCTCAACTGGCAAGTGCTTGATCAGAGAACTTCGGATCAGAGCAACTGCCATCAAACATGCTCTCCATGACACTTTTGGGTATAAAACAAGCTCATGCTGCATAATGCGTTGTGTTTTCATGTGTTTTCGTTTTGTGTGATCCAATTAATGATCCAATTTAAATACAGTATATTGCATTAATTGAAGGCGATCAATAAATGAATAAATCCCAGGCTTCCCAGGTTCAATTTCACTTGAGCTCATGCTGCAATGGGTTTGGGGTGCCGGCTTTTGAGCATTCTGAAACACTCTCCAAGTCAATTTCTCTCTTTTTGTGTCCAAACTCCGCCAAGGTCACTTCGGTCTTGGATGTGAGGACCCGGGTCGAGGGCCCTGGAGTGGCCGACGAAGGCCAGGGCAGCACATTGGCCTATACCTTCTTCACCTCGGGCACGACGGGAAAGCCCAAAGGAGTGATGGCCACCTGGCGGAACACAACCAGGAGCGATCGGACGCTACTAGGGGCTCCTGGCCTTACTACAAGCTACTAGGGGCTCCTTGCACCACTACTAGGAGCAAGGATGCTGTTCACCGGTTCGCAAATGCTTTGTCAAACCTAAGCATTGAGACTGTCTGTTCCTTTTCGGACTCAGGTGGAGAACAAAGGCTTGGCGCCTTGTCCAAAGACTGGCATGATTTGGCAGATTCATGTAGATTCAGAGATACGTCAGCAGCTTTCAATTTTCTGATTGGGTTGAAGACATTGTCAAGTGAGGCTACAGACAGGATGTTCTCAGAGGTTCTCCGATAGAAACAGTGGAGTTCAAGATGGGTTTGATTTGTAGACGAGGAGCCTGACTGGGTCTCAGTCATAGGTGTGGGTGGTTCATGGTGGTTTCACTCTCCTAGAAAAGTGTGTGTGTGGAACAGCTCTATATTGTGAAAATAAGTCAAGACATGTATGTTGGAAGTACGAGAGCTTCAGAAAACAAAGGCTGTTGATGGCCTCCCTGGTCAAACTGCAATTTCATGTTTTTTGGATAGTTGTTCTTTGCCTTTGGCATGAATCCACGACCATCAGATGGGTTTGAAATAATGGCGAAGCCACGCCTGCCAAGACATAACACCACGGAGCGACATCGTCTTCGTAGCCGTTCCACGAAGCAACATCAAATTGGTTACAAACACAAATGACTTCCAGTCCTTGAGAACCTCTGGTTTGTATCCTCAAGGCACATGTGAGAAATGCCGGGTTTCCAAGTTTCAATGTGCGTTTGTTGGTTAAACAAATGTGGATTCTTTATGATTCTTTGAGTGCGTGTGTGTGTGTGTGTGTGTGTGTGTCCACCCCTGGACAAAGGGTTTTCCACCGCTACTCCTTCCACTGTTTTTCAACCACCTTTTTCAACCACCTTCTACAGGCAGGGGGCCAGCGGCCGACAAGCAAACGCTGGCTAACAAAGCTATGCTTGTCGGTGGATGCACAGTCTGATCAACTGTGTGTACCTGCGACCAACTTTTGCACAAGCTGTCCAATCTGATCGGTTTGCTTTCATGGTCCTTCATGCTACCACCCCCAAACAGGTTTCCCTCCGTTTTGCAGCCGCTTTCACTTGCGCTTGTCGTGAAACTTGTGTTAAACAATACTTTTCTACGGACTCATGCGCCTTTCCGTTCCTTCACCTTCCTTCTCAGCTTGGGAACTGAGTTCACTGAATACAAGTGTCAGAGTGTGTGCGCGTGTGCGTGTGCGTGTGCAGACACAGACATGGGTAGACAGAGTGGTGATATGTCAGTAATCCCCACTTCCGTAGAACATACTGTCCACGAATGTCCCCACGCTTCGAGGCTTCTGCGTTTGGATCATGCAAGCAAGAAATCTAATAGCGATGGCCTCCACCCTAATAGTGATGGCCTCCAACCGAGTAGCGATGGCCTCCACCCGCGCTTCGAGGCAAGCCTGCCTTTAGATCACTGTTCCATCAGTGATTCGGGCGTCGGTTTGGAGAACTCTCGGCCTTCACCAGCGTCCGTGCACCCGCCTCGGGTCTGTCCTTTTCAAGGTCCATAGAGTGCACTGGTTCCAGCAGCGATGGCCCTTGTATCCTGGGGAAGGCATCGTCTCCAAGGCGGGACCAAACACGAGTGACACGGACCGTTAGAGGTCCATACTTGGTAAAGGAACCCCTTCGGTTGCCAAGCTTTCCACCGATGTTGAATTCTAGGAACCATAGTGCGAGCATGTGCGAGCGCTTTTTCAAGGAAGCTCCGAAGCCGCCCTCATGCGGGGGGAGCTTCCTTGAGGGTGATACGTAGAAGCGTGGAATTGTAAGTAGCGAACTTCTCCATTACTTAAATAAGTAGACGCCTACTTAATTAAGTAAGGCAGGGCCATGGGCTCTAAAAGAGCATGTTTTGTTATTGAATATCAAGGTTTGTTTGTCAGTCAGTTTTGGGTCCTGAACATCCCTTTGGCCCTTCGACCTTGTCTTGATGCTAGTTCATACGATTTTTGGAAGTCACAGCTTGATCACAACTTGGTCAGGTGGCATACACTTTTGGCCTCTCCGAATGGGAGATTTTCTGGCCGCTCACAGCGGGTGCTGCCTTGATCCTGGCGCCACCAGGCCGGGCGGCAATCAGGCGACAAGAATTGTGCTCGAACGCAACCTGCCGGCCTTTCCTGGTGCACATGGTAAAATGTATAAAACATTATAAAACTATGTAAGACTGCTAGTCAGGTCAGGTCAGGTCAGGTCCCCTTGAATTCCTCGAGGATGTATACTCTTTTGCTGTGCATCCATTCTCGCGCGATTTCTTTCCGTACTGGGTACAATCATGCACAATCCCATGCTTACTTGCAAGCTTGTCATGAATGCAGTGCTTTTCCATGCTTCTCCTCTTTACATGCCTGATTGGTCGGCCACTCAGGTGGAGAAAAAGACGCGGAGTACCTGCTCCGCCGAGCCTGCCACGCCTTTCATCCCCCATCGCGGCAGGATGCTGTTTGACCGTCGGGGTCGTCGGCGGTGCGACTGAAAAGACCAACCACTAAGGGTAGCAGCAGGTAGAAATTGGATCTTTTGGGATCTATTGGGCTATTGGGATGATTTTCTGATGTGTTCTTAATTAGGGACTTGGTGCACCTTGGGGCTATGAATCAGATTTGCTGGTCTATGTTTTACTGGTAAAGCCGGATCCATGGTCGGGTTTGTATTCTGGGATGCGGATCAAAACCAACCCCCGAAATGCAGGATTTTTGGACCCTCGGCATCTTGACACGTCTTGCATATGCTGGCTTGGAAACGTCACTACTATGATCTCCCATAGGTCTGAATCAACACAGAAATCGTATTTTGCAGACACATGGAGAACTCCAGGAGCGACTGATTCCTGGAAAAGGACCTTCACCAGATCATGTGAACTGTGTCAGTGCTCATATTTTTGCTCCTCGGCTGAGGGAAGTCCGGGAAGTCCGGGACTGGCGGACGCCATGGATGGAGCTCAACCTGAAGAAGTGGTGATGAAAGCAACACGAGTTGATCCCTTGAAATTGGAACACTGAGAGTGACACCGAATTAAAACTTGGGACACTGGTGGAATACCGGTGGAGAGTGTCTCGGTGTCTCGGAATCTCCAAGGACTGAGGTTTGGGGAATTCCGGAGAGATCTGAGTCGTTTGTAGCCTCAAATGTTCCCTCTAGCTGTTGATCGCTGCGCAGACCTTTGATGAACAGGCGGAGTGTAGCATCACCATCTCACCCAGGTGCCCTCAATGTTGCAGATGATTTTCGACAAGTATGATGAGTTGGAAGACGCTTGGCTGCTCCCGTTTTCACGAAAGGTAGCATTAGCTACCTGAGTTCTACCTTGCGCAAGCAAGTGGGCTGCCTTGTTGAAAGTCCTTGATTTTTGGATTTAAGTAATGATTCTATTCGTTGGGGGGCCCCCCTGGCGGTTCAACTCCCACTGTGGGGCATCATGATCACCATCATATATGAGGTGATTTTGGCAAAGGTTTCTTTCATTTAATGGAAGTTTGGTCAATCCAAAGATGCTTTTGGTCAATCACCACACTTAGGAGACTTGGTCCAGCAGTTTCCCTCTAAAAGGTGTGTCCTCACCTTTTGTTCACCCCTCCGCTGAAGCTCAGCGGTCTGAGCCGTGGTGGTTTCCCAAGCTCAACGGAGCACGGACCGTTCCGCCGGTCTCAGGAGGAGGATATGCAACGGAAGGCAGGTGAGCACCACGTGGATGGCTGCTTGGCCTGGTTGGGCGGTTCATCCGTTTGGAGAGTGACGTTTGGGTTTATGCATGAGATCAGACTGAGAGCGGGCACAAGCATGCTAAACCGCACATACCCGTCGTACTATTCAATACTATATATATACTGTACTGTATATTTTATGTCTATATATTTATATAGTGGTATATAAGAACTATACCTGTCCAACCCTATTTTCCTTTCCAACCTGCAGACTGACTGACTTGGGTGCTTGTAGTGATGCTATCAACTAGCACAGCAGAAGCCTTGCTGCGGGGTTCGCAGCGTCTTGAGCGGTTCTTGAGGGAAATGGCGCGAAGTTTCAAAGGTCACCGAATCCTACCCCATCCATCAGTATTTCGCACTGTTTTGCATTTTGCAGCTGCCCTTTTTCTCACATTCACTAGGATCACCCCCATGAGGAACATGGTGGCATCACTCCAAAGCTCGGGACATTGTCACCTGTGGCGAAGCCTTGAACCCTTCTTTGACCCAGAGACTTGGTCGCAAAGGACGAGAGTCGCAGACGCAAAGGATGTGATGCCACGGACGCAACGAGAGTCGCAACAGGCTATGTCGGGTTCGTGAATTCCCACATCAACCTGTCCACAAGTAGACTGCTCAAGCATCTCAAAACAAGTGTAGTCTCCCGGGTGTTCGCGGTGTCCGCTAATATGTCCAGGAAAGCGCATGCACAAATAGTGTGACATTTACCTCTGAAAACAGAAAACATGAATTGGTGCAGAATTGAAAAGTAAAACACAACTCTATGCCCGCCCTCATGCCCAACGGGTTTCTGACTCATCCCCATGCATGTATATATCTACATATATGGATAGACTTTGCTCTACTAATACTACAGTTTCTGTGCCCCCCCTCTTCAAGCATTCCGCCTTGATCTGTCTCACAATGAATCCTAATTGCAAAAAAGGGGGAACCTTTCCAAGTATCCCTTTGCATATACTACCCTGGTTGTCTGCCGCCAGTCGTTGTATCCGCCCTCACATCTGGAATACTTCATGCTTGGTATCTTCAACTTGACGGCTCACCGAAGGGCCTCCAAGATGGACTAGTGACTAGTGATGTTCTTCAGCTCAGCACACCAAGGCAGCTTCCCTGAAACAAACAAACCCTCCAACCTCATAACGATGGCCTCCAACCTAATACCACAAAACACGAAACGAACTCTGTTGTGCAGCTGCGAATGGTGCTGATTTAATTGTTACATATTGTTACAGGTGGGGATGGTGTTCATCCGTGGTCCTTCCTTCCTTCGACGCTCGCACCAAGGAAGATGTTCTCATGCTTCCATCACTGTACGCTGACCAACTTGTACGGCCCCACGGATGCTTGGTGCGCAAGTACCCCTAACTCACTGTAATGCAACGTTGAAAGTCTCGTTCTTTGCAAAGTGAACGCGCACAGCAAAACATAGACCAGTGACCAAAGTGATTCTGTAGGTGTCCAGTCGAATCAGGAGATCCTCCAACAACTGCATCCTAGTGACTTAGTGAATTCTTCCTCTTTCCAATGTTGTTTCGACATGTTCCAAAGGGTCTCTGTAAGATCTTCCTCTTTCAATGCGCACCTGGCCCACCGGGCCTCTTTTCAAGCTGAGCGGTGACCTGCGCACCTAAGGAAGGGGAGATGACGTACTGGGAGGTCCCGCAGGGCCGGGCTGTGCTCCGTGTCTCAGCGGGTGCTCCCATGGAAGGCTGCAAGGCAGGAACGGATATGAGCAAAGTCCTGGCATCGCTATTAGGAGCAAGAAGCTACTAGTAACAAAGGACATGGCTACTACTGTTGACGGAAGAAATCCTGCACCACTTTCATACAGATGTTTCTTTATACCCTCGCGCTCCCTTTTTAACATTGCTCTTTTTGGTATCGCAAGCTGCAAAGGTGCCATTGATGGAAATCCTGCACCACCATCCTGCATGACATGACAACATTGAATAGGGGTGCGGGGCTGCCGGTCTGTCAGCTTGCTGTATCAAAGTGGTGCAGGATTTCTTCTGCCCACCGTAGTAACAAGAAGTTGCTAGTAACAAAGGGCATCGCTATTAGGAGCAAGAAGCTACTAGTAGCTCCTGGCATCGCTACTAGGAGCAAGAAGCTACTAGTAGCAAAGGACATCGCTATTAGGAGCAAGAAGCTACTAGTAGCTCCTGGCATCGCTACTAGTAACAAGAAGCTACTAGAAACAAAGGGCATCACTATTAGGAGCAAGAAACTACTCGTAGCATCGCATCGCAAGGAGCTACTAGTAGCATCACTATTAGGAGCAAGAAACTATACTAGTAGCTCCCGGCATCGCTACTAGTAACAAGAAGCTACTAGTAACAAAAGGCTTCGCTATTTGGAGCAAGAAGCTACTAGTAACAAAGGGCATCCCTGTATACAAGGAGCAAGTGGCATCGCATCGCTATTAGGGGCAAGAAGCTATTAGTCAAAGGAAGTTTAGTGTGCAAAACTTCCGTGTTACGGACATTCAACAGCTGTTCAACCACCACTCATCATACACCACTCATCATACACCACTCATCATACACCA